TAGAAGATATACAGAATCCTGTTGCAAACATTACAGGACCTTAGCTTCCTTAACAAGTACAGCTCTCCTTTTTCCTTCTTGTACGTTAAGGCTAAGGTTGTTAAGGTTGCAGATGCTGTAGGATCCCACAGAGCTGCTCTTAGCAAAAATATGGAAAGGCTTTAGGATCTAAAACATATCAATTTCAACATATCTAGTTAAATTCTGTCATCTGAAAATGAAAGTACTATTGACCAACTAAGACATGGACATCAAACTAAACACAGGGACCAGAGAAGAAGATAATTATTTAAAAAGTCAACAAAAGCATGGTAGGACTGGAGAAGCTGTGGAAATCCACTTTCTAGGTAAAAAAAAATTGCTCGCAGGTCATTCATTTTCATTAATCTCATACCTCCCTCTCATGAATCCAACATTTGTGGATGAGTGGCAATGTTAAAAGCAATGTTCTCTCTAATTTATATAATATATATATATATATATATATATATATATATATATATATATATATATATATATATATATATATATATATATATATATATATATATATATATATATATATATGTGTGTGTGTGTGTATAATTAACCCTGGATCATGGAAAGTTAGATGTGTGCTGAAGCTTGTGATACAGTGTAATATTCTGTAGCTCTTTCTCGCCCTGTAACTCTTTAATTACACAGTTTTGCGTTTGTGCTAAAATCAATTATGTAATAGTTAAAGTATTTTATAACTGATATCCATTAATGAAAAATCTTAATGTCACTAGTAGATGAGCATATCTAATTTAAATTTGATCTATTTTTCCCATGTGTCCTTCTTACTTCTCCAGTCATTCTCCAAATAAGCCACTTTAAGAGCTTTCTGGATGCTGTTTAGATTCATTAAACTAAATATTATTTCACAATCAGCACTGGATGCTTAAAATAGACCACTCTTTCACAAGCTGTGAGATCTCCTAAAGCTCTTCATATCTAAGTGCTGCAGAAACCATATCTTAGAATGTGATGATTGACTCCTGTTTACGTTTTTGCTTCATCCATCATGTGAACTTAAATTTAGCAACAAAAAAAAAGAAAAAGGCTGTTAGAAACCGCTGAGTTTCATTGTTCTGGAAGCCTGGACTCATAAATATTCGGGCCGCCATATGTTTTTCATCCAATTGGATTATTTATTTATGCATCTGTATCTCTTTGATGCTCTGAATAAGGACATTTGCTGAACTCCATTACAGAACAATGATGCTTTATCAAACATATTCATCCAAATACAACTCTTAAACACTCAAAACATGAACCTTAAGCTGGAGCTACAATGGAGTGGTTCTGATCAAAGCATAGTCACATTAGTATGGCCTAGAACAAAAGCAGATCTACTGTAAATCCAGTCAACAATCTTTACCAAGATAATTCACAATCTACAAAACTGACAGAGGCAAAACTCAACAATTGTTGCCATACAGTATTTCCACTAAAATGTGTTTCTATGTATAACTTAGTCAGGGTGCCCTTAATACAAATGATATGGATACACTCAGCAGCTTCCAGAAGGATACTATGATGTTTGTTTACAAAATAATTTTCACATCCATGCCCTATCCCATCTAAGTGAAAAGTCGTTTTCTAATTGTCCTTCTGGTATTGCTTCAAAAAGACCAGACAGATGGATTTCACTGCTTTTAGCTTTCATTTATTTTCACCGCCTTTCCTTCATTTTACCTAATTTTCCATTTGTTGTGTTGATGCTAATAAAAGGTGGGCTGTTTGATTGTCTAGTAATCCAATCATTGCCTTTTCTCATTTGAAATTAAAACCTGTCATCATTAATCGTGTCCGCTTGTGCTCTATGGAAGCAAACAAGGCATTTATCTGTAGGACATGGTTTATTTTTGCAGCTATTTTCATTCCTAAACACAAAACTAAAATCATTGCTGTTCCAGATTAATGCCTCTGGGGGAAAAAAAGTTTTTTCCTCTTCTCGTTTTTTCATCTAGTTCCTTCCCAAAACGCAATCTAACCAATATTACTTTCTCTGTGAAATCAATAGTTTTATCACTGAAGCTGCTGGTGCTTGTGTGTGGATTTCACCTACCTGTTCTTACTCTTTCGACAAGCCTTTATCCTTTTTCTTTAAAGTAACTGAGTGTCTGTTAGCCCTGAAAGAATATCTCTGGTCTGAAAATAAAAAAGTAATAACATATCAATTACACTGAGGAGATGTTTAAATGCTTATCGTGTTCCTATCTTCTACTAGTCTGTGCTTTGCCCTGAGTAAGAGTTTATCTCTGCACAAGGAGAGCATCAGTAATGTGTGCTTATTTGTGAGAACGAAGCGATTTGTTGTGCTTGCTTCCTAAGAAATAGTTTTTATTTAGTGCGTTTTAAAAAAAATAATAAGAATTTACAACCCTGAACCATCTGCCACGGTGCATACAATGGGATCTAATCTGAAATTATGGCTGTTAAACAGAAAATATAAAGCAAGCAAATGAAACCTGACTTCTGATTGGCTGCTGGGTCTTTGGTCCCTCTTCATGGACTATGGGATGAACAGGAGTCCCTCTAACCAAAAAAGTAAGAAAAACAAAGGGATGTGGTGCTACTTTTTTAATCTAAGCGCTGTTTTTTTTTTTTTATTAAGTTATTTAATCCACCATAAGTTGGCAGCAGAGCTAACGTACAGGTCATGATAAAGCACCAGTGTTATATTACTGCACAGCAATAACATAGTAATATCATAGCAAAACGTCTGTGGATGAGCTGCCAGCTTCATAAAGATGTTCTTTACCCGTGCTTTAGAAAATATGTTGTTTTTATGTGTAAGTGAGCGTGGGTTTAGAGTCAGCACCTCCAGACAACAGAAAGTAAAGCTTTTTATACATCCTCTGCATTTACACTGAACTCACTATGCACCTATTAGCTAGTGATACGAGAAGAAGGATACATAATGAAATCCTTTGAAAATTTTATAAATATTTGGAAAAATCTCTACTAATAAAGTTTTTTTCAATATTGTTTTTAAAGCACTGAGATAACCTCTGTCATGTATTAAAAGTGTAGCTGAAAGCTTAGCGATGCCTGACTTTTTCAGTATTGTCTCAAATTTTGTATGTAGGTAAGTAAAGAGGGAAGCAAATAAAAGTTATATATTTGCTAATTGATGAGGTGGTAGTATTTCAGAGTCATGTTTAGAATATGGTGGCTATATACTGTATATATTTCATGGGTTTGAAACAGCAGCATGGTTTGAACAGTAGCTATTCTTGAAGCTGCACTGGCTTCAAAAAGAACCAAAACAGTATAATGTCAACATCTCATCCAGTATTGGCAGGAACCATTCCAGAATATACCCATAAATAATGGCATACTCTGACTTAGCAGTCAAATTCATTTAGCACTGACATAGCAGTCAGTTGGCTCCAGGCTACCCTGAGGGGTAGACCTCAAAATTGATGTCTAATTCTAATTCAGGCTGGTTGCTAGGTGACTGAGGCAAGTTTTAAACATTTAATATATTGTTGGATTTTTAAATATACTTTTAAGATTCTCAGAAATGCAAGATCATTGATATAATAAAAGAGGGGGATGAAGACATAAGGAGCGACTCTGATGTAACCTTTTTTTTCTTAAGATGCACATATCGTTTTGCTGTCACTCTATGGTCATAGATCAGGGTTAGTTCAACAAGCCAAGAAAAAAAAAAAATAACGGCAATAATTTATACCATTTATCTATTTAACAAACCAGAAACTGCAGTTTACCTTCCACCACTTTACTCTACATAAGATACTGTAAATATAAGTCACCTTATAACTCTCCTTCTTTGTTTCTTCCCATCCGCTGTATATAACTGGATGCACTGTATATACTTTATGCATCTTTTCCTCATTTTTGCACCTTATGTTTTTTATGGAGTAAGAGCCGATGTCACGAGTGAATATCTCCATTGTGAGATCAATAACGTTTCATTCATTTATTCATTCATTCAGGTAACGTTTTATTTTGTTTCCAGTCAAACACAAAACTAAAGGACAGTAATTGATACGATCAGCATGATCAGTCTGAAGCGCAGTAGACATTGCAGGTAATAGCAACAGTCATTTGCTACCAGGAAGGCAGAGCTAGATCTGTTCCTTGGAAACACTTTGGGAAGTTTGCTGCTTGCATGTGTCTGCAGATTGATGTAGGAAACCTGTTCAAACATCTGAAACTATCAAAAGTTGAGTTAGTGGAATATATTTAACATACATTTAGATTTAGGGTGATCTCTCAGCTACATAAAAATTTATTTCTGTTTTTGATTATAAATATTTTTTCTAAATGATACAAAAAGTACTAGTATCTATTTTATTCTTAAAATCTTAATATAACAGCCCACATTTTATAAAAAAAAATTTCTGGTAGCCGTTTTCAAAGGATGGTTTTACACTAAGGTATAAAAAAACAACAACTTCATAGCAAGTACTTTGAGTTTACTTGTGAATAATGGAAAGTGAATAAATATATGAAATGCTTTTCCATATTCCTGTAGCTGTGACTGGACTAGAAAAAAATGCATAAAAGAGGAAGAATAAATGTGAAAATAACTTTTAGGAAATCTGGACCCATTGAGACTTTTAGGAAAGGCTGACTGCTTACGTGGAAGATCAGGTCACTATAATTTTGATGGAAACCTACCGTAAATAAATATTTTGTACTCCACAGTGTCCCCTAGTAAGTGAAACCCCAAAATATGGATTCTTTACAAACAGCCAGCAGATTTAGCAAAAATATTCTCATTCAAAATAAATGCAAAACCTGAAAAAAGTTGATTTCTATTGCCAAATGAAAATAGTGTGATACTTTAATGTACATAAAAGTCTAATCTGTTGGCTTTGACATGCAGGAGCAAACCAGAGTGCTGAATAGTTTGGTGTCCGACCACAACTGGATCTCCTGGGTGGTGTGAGGAATTTCCTGCTGATGTTTAACATAACATTTTATTCTGTGTGTGTGTGCAGCTACCTCGACAGCCTAGATCGGATCGGCGCAGCAGACTACCAGCCGACAGAGCAGGACATACTCCGAACCCGAGTGAAGACCACAGGCATCGTCGAGACGCACTTCACCTTCAAAAACCTTCACTTCAGGTTAGGAGAACCTCGACAAAACCCTCTGAGTTTGTCCACCTGCTCCAGATTCCACTCAGCAGGAGATCCTATCTGTATTTAATTAGAACCAATGGTTTAAACAAGTATCTATATTTATGATTCTCTGGCGCTTTAATGAATTTAAATTCAATTAGACCACAGAGCAGAGGGAATAATGGAGAAGAAGGGAGGCGATATGATGAGAAATGAAATGGAAGGGAATTTTCTCTGCAATAATTCTCCTGAGCTAAAGCTCACTTATAAAGCAACAAATGGTAAATAAACTTTTTTTTTCTCCATTTCTCAGCAATAAGTTGCTGTGGTGATCCAGAGGTTCCACATATACGGTACTCTGGTAGCTGCTGTTCTATCTGTTTTTCTTTGAGAGGCCCATCCTGCAGATATTCAGCTGCGCTGCTATTATTGGCAGTCATGCAGTGTGGGAGGATTCCCTGTTCCTGCACTGGGCGGAACCCATCAGCCGGCCTGCCATTATACCCATTCCAAACACACTCGGCTGGCTTAGTTTCACTCTTAGCTCAGGCCTCTCATTCTGAACGCCACAAAAACCATACAGAGTCAGGATGGGGTGTTTTCCTTTTCTGGCAAAATGATCTAAATGTTTAACATCTGTTGTTTATACTTTTCTCTTCAGGTTCAAAGATTTAATATTTTTAGCTTTTCTTTGTTCCTCAGCAATTCAATCGGGTTTTGGTCTCTGCAGGGAAAGTTTGCAGGATGATTTAATATAAAATCATGAAATACTCAAATCCCTACATAAAAAAAGAAGCATTTTTCTAAAGTGTGTTTGGAATAAAAGACAAGGTCACAAAAATGTGTTGTACAGATGATATACTTGCAGTATTAATTTCTGCAGGTTTAAATGTTTAAAAAGATAAATCTTAACAATTATTTATTTGATACTATAGTTGTGTGCACAACTAAGAATTTGTTCAAGTTTTTTTCTGAACCAAATGAGGTCACACCTATACACTCATATACAGCACAGTTCAAGTATATACAGCACTTTACCACTGTCTGGTAGCCATCAGCAAGCTTCTGGCACCACTCTGCTGGATAGTAGGCCATTTGTCTTGGCAGATACTGTATGGGATAGTTCTCTTTAATTGTCTGCTTTCTTGGCATGTACTCAGTTTTTGGGTTTGGGTTATTCAAACGTCCAAATGTTTTGGAATCTGGATCCATTTACACATCACTGTGCTGTTGGAACACCTCAGAATAAGCAGCACCATATCAGAGCAATTTATTTAGGATTTCATGAACTGGAGACTGTAGGAGCACCAGGGTTGTTTTCTCCTATGATTCTGACTGAGGGTGAGCTTGGATAAAATTTGCTCACAGGAACAAGTCAGCTTCTTTTTTCTTTTTTTCATTTTGATCCATATTTTGCATTATTTATATTAGTAGTACTATAATGATCAAATTATAATTGTCTTAAAGCTTTTTTTGTGTGTTGGAGGACTGATTTAAATCTGATCGCGAGTACTCAGTGTCTATGCATGAATAATTGTTTCCTCTCAAACATTTTAATTGACATTTTGTTCACCTTCTCTTGCAGTTATTTTCATTTTCTTACTTACTTAACCATTTTCCATGTGATGATTTAAGTTTTTCTGGGTGATCTTCATACAACGTGATTGTGGTAATTTAGAAAAATATAGCTGACTAGATATAATATTTAAACATTAAAAACATTTTCACTGTTACAAATGTGACCTATATGTTATGAGTATTTAAAGCAACAGTTGTGCTTGAAAGTTTAAATACCTTTCCATTAAATACAGAAAAAAATCAGCAGTCAGTAAATTTTAAAAATCACAACATCAATTTTGAATATTGATAGGTAGATGGATAGATATAAATAGGCTTTGAGATTTAGAAAACATTATTTTTTTTGTGTTCCCCTCGTGTCCATCAGGCTGTTTGATGTGGGAGGTCAGAGGTCAGAAAGGAAGAAATGGATCCACTGTTTTGAAGATGTGACGGCCATCATTTTCTGCGTGGCTCTGAGTGGATATGACCAGGTGCTGCATGAGGACGAGACCACGGTAAGGACCCAACATGTCTGTGTTTGTTGGACTGCTTAGCGTTTTTCCTAATGGCCAAGTAGCTTTAAGTAACATAAATCTCTGTGAGTTATTGAACAGTGTGTTTTTCACAACAGAACAAGTCAGAGCTTTCATTTGTATTTTTATAGTATAAATTTGACAAACTGATTTTTTTTTCCTTTTTTTTTTTACATTTTTGATATTTGGTCTCGTTTTTGAAAAATTAAAACTGCAATAATTTGTGAGAAAACAATGCTGTTAACAGATTAACACTGATAATGTGTGACTATAATTAAACTGTCTGAATAATGAACACAAAGACAACATTTTTTAAAAGACCCGCCCTCTCCGCTTTAAAGGAAAAATGCACATGCACAACCCTTAACATGCTCCCCGAGTAGGAGCACCTATTAAATGGGTGCAAGAGCCTACAGGAGCCCATTTCTCCTCGTGCATGCTCTGCTTAAAAATTGCTGTTTGCATCGCTCATACAAGCTTACTTTCGAAAAAGAAGATTTACACTATGTCACACTCACCACTTGTAAGTGAAAGTGGGGATGAGCACCTAGGACGGCCTTATGTAAACATATCACCAGAATGATTGACAATTAGGAGGACCACTTATTTTGATGATCCACCTCAAAAAAGAACATCCTCTACTATAACTTTAAATAATAAAATAGTTTTAGTTTGTTTCGATAGGATCAGTCCTCCATGTAATCACAAGCATCAGATCTGAAGTCAATGCTCTGTTTTAACTTATATTTCAAACCCAAGCTTTCCCTCTGAGCGGTTTGAATCAGGATAGTTGGCTCGAAAAGCCGTTCTATTTTTGCTGACGTCATAAAGCATCCCAGTAAGCCTGGACCATCAGAACACGACCAAATGTGAAAAATACAACATGCTCCCAGGAGAAACTGGTTACATGCATTAGTTCAGTAAGTGTCGTGTTGATGTAACCTGTTGTTTGCAGACACAGAGGTCATTCTGACATTTTGAGCTAAGCCACTTTTTTTTTTGCTGAAAGAACAAAATCCTTCTTTTCTGCAGCAGGAACAGAGACTCATTCCCTGCAAGCTCAGTTCATTCCAGGGGTGTTTTATAACAACACAGAAGATGATGGAGGAAATAAACACAGAACAGATTTGTAACTGTGATTGTTAGCTGTCTATAAACTGAGCCACTTGCAGCTGATCGGTAGAAAGCTTGAAGTTATTTACTAAAAATCAAGGGTGCTTTTGAGCAGAACTCATCATCTTTCTGTTGTCAGATAAAAATTATTCGATTTTATTATCACCAAACTGGAAGTGATGGCGTAGGAGTTCTAATTAGCGACAAATGTTTTTCCTCTTGGCTCCCACATTCTCCCTCTGTTTTACTATCAACAGCCTCCAGTTCAGCAAAAAATATTCCAACATTGGAAAGAAATGCGAACGACCTCCCAGTAATGGGACCGATAAGGCGGAACATGTCACGATCCGGCAGCTCATTTAAGTCACTCCTCTGCTCGGGTTTTAATTAGAAAGCAACTTTTCTTATAATACTTATTTGGTTCTTATAAAAGTGAGGAGAAGGAAATGTTGATTTTTTTTCTCTCTCCCAAAGCAATATAATCCTTTTACAAAAAGAAGCTTTCATTCAGGTTTCTTTTTAGGTGATGTGTAGCAAAGACTACAAGTTTGCTATCCGGATTAAAATACACACAGTTGGAGTGTATTTACTAATTTTGTACCATTTTATTTTCTTTATCAGAGTAAAGGCAGCTGAATGAACACTTATGAGGTGTTTGTGTCTTAAAATAGTTGACCATTTTGGACCAAACCAAGTGCCATGCATGACTTTGTTTTACTTAAACTCCCAGTTTAATCCACCAAAGTCACAAAATGTAAAAAGTACTTCAGCTTGCAAGAAATTCAAGGTGATGCACTTTAGTGGCTAAAATCGTCCTTTGCCAAAATTGTGTATAGGTCTGTTTAATAAGAAAGGAGTTCCTGTTACACTCTTGTTAAAAATGCATTTTAAAAGAGTAATGATATATAAAAGACAAAAGCACAGGAAAGACTCTATAACCTGCATCAGAAGAAAGAGGCTGCAAGCTGTTAGAAATGTTATACTGCTCACCCCCTGTAGTTATAATCCAATTATTTGACTCGTTAAAGCAACACTTACATGCACTTTGTCTATGGTATAAATCGTCTCTACAGTCTTATATTGCCCGGAGCTTTGTCAAATTAACCTGTTGGTTAGTAACAGAATTAAACTACTACTGTACCTGATTTTTATTTTGTTCTCATCAGTCCCAGGACATTTTCCCAGAAGATCTGTAGATCATAAGAATGTTTTGTTTTTTCCCCAAACACGAGAGGCCTTTCTGTTCTTTGGGAGATCTTCCATAGATATAATTTTTGCTCAATCTCTTTCTCATTGTTAAAACATCCATTTTGACCTTAACTGAGCTAAGGCATGGTTAAGGAAGTTCTACTTTTTGTTGGTAAAATTTCACTATTAACTTTACTGCACTTAATTTTTTTTTTTTTCTCTTAGAGGGATTTTTGTACTGTAGACTCATGGGCTCCATCTTTGTTCTCGCTGTGGTTTTCTGGAGTCTTTACAGCTATCTTCACATAGCAGGTCTTGATGCTCATGTCTAAAATATGTTGTTTTTCACACGATTATTCATAAAACAAATTAAATATGAGTGGCACCTGACTTTGTGCAAACAGTTCAGGACACCAAAGCAACCTGGATGCACAGAGAAGGAAAACGTCACATCAGTCAGTGGTTTCTGCGCACGGCTGCTGATTCTATTGTCTTTCTTTGTTATTGATCAACTGTTGCCCAATGGGAGCCAACAATATTTAGACCACATCATGGAAAATAAGAAGAAAACGGAGCATAGTGATTACCAGTGGTCTTTAGCTGATCTGTGTGGATGTGTAGTGGGAGCCAAAGCAATGACATAAAAGTTGAATAAAATGCTCCATGACCGTTCAGACTACAGTTACTTTGAAGTCCATCATGAATTTGATTTAGTATCACTAATGAGAAAAGTTCAAATTTGATTTTTAGATATTTTCTTTAGGTGAAAAGATCGGATTTACGCTATTCAGACTGCTATAAAAAAAAAGATCATATATAATCCAAATATGGGCAAAAATATCAGGCTTGTGTCAATTTTGCCTTCTGTGTGAATGTAGCTCAGCCTTACAAATAGCTTTTTAACCATTTTTTAGATTGGGATATATTTTGTTACTTTTTAAGAGATAACTTAGCCTGCTTCATGTTGTCAGATAGATTCTCTTACAGCGATTTCCTATTTCTACAGGTAGCATTACATACAAGGGAAGCCTTTTTATACTGGGTCATAATGCTTTTGATAGAAATATTATCATTAAAAATGGAAAGAAAAAACAAAGAAATCTAAAACATTAAAGTGTTATGATATCTTTAAAGTGGAGAAAACAGTCTGTGTACATGTTTTAACTGGAACATTTAAGTCCATCTGAGGACCAAAATGTTCCGGGGTAAATGTAGACACAAGATGAAGTCAAATTAAAGGAATCTCGCTAACTGAACAAACTGTCAAAGCGCCGTGCTTTCCCCTCATATAAAATCCCCTCATAGGCTCCATCTCGGAGCCCCTGACTCCTTCTGTTGGTGTTGGTGTTGCCTGTTAGTACAAACACACCCTGCACCACTTATTCTCTGTTACTCCCCTCTTTCTTCTGAAGATCTGCATGTACTGTTTGGTTGTTGCTGCTCTTCATCGTGTTCTCTAAATGACGACTGCTCGTTGTGAAGGCTGTCTTCCTGCCCTGTGAACTCCTTTCTTGCAGCACTGGATGTGTGTTACAGTAGTTGTAGTGAATGGGGCAACTTGGGGAAGGGCCTTCTGGATATGGGTGGGTCCCTTGCGTTTTCTGTTCCTTCTCTAAGCTCCGCCCTGCAGCATCTCTGGCTCCTTCTACTCCTGTCCCTGTTGCCACCGGCTGTCCTCTCTAACCAATCAGCTGTCAGATCTTCTGCAGATGCTCCACCCACAGACAGGTATGAAAACTTCCCAATAGGTTGACACACTCAGCAGCTGAAAGCAGGTCCTCTCTGCGTTTGTGAAGCTTAGCTTTATTCTCTGTTTTAAAGCTCCTCTTTTCTTCCTTTTCTCCTCATGTGAAACAGTCGTCTCTTGGTAGTCTGACTTCTCTACACGCCCTCTTTAGGAACGAGGCAGCGTCTGATCAGAACCAGAGAGAAACTGCTTTCAGCTCACAGTTTGAGGCAATCTGTCTGTTTTAATCACCAGGTCCTTTCGATGTAGCTAGACTCATTGTTTCTAATGTGTGAACATGGAAAACTCACTGAAATGACTAACTTTCTTATTATTTATGAATGTAATGAGAACGATTAATAACAAGAGTTAAAAGAAAAATGTTCAGCATAGAAGTTCCGTAAAATAAGGATGTCAAAATAGAAATTTTACTTACATTTGTTGGTTTGATGAGATTAAAAGAGGTTTTGATACTTTCTAACCAGCTGCAGTGTTAATTTAGCAGCATTTACATCCGCTCAAGTTTCTATTTATCTCAATACTGTAGAGTTGTTTAATTACTGATGTTTTCAGCCACTCAGTATCACCCTCATTATCATTTTGTCAGCTCTTATTTATTCAAATATTAATTTTACAATTCTTGGTGATTATTTATTGGCTATAAAAAATCGAACTGAATCATTAAAAGTCTTGATTCCAAAATTTGTTATATCATATAGATTATCAAAAACCCATGTAAGGTCAAATGAAACCTTTACTGGTAGGTTGAATTCCTCTTATAAAGTGGGAAGAAGCTTTAGCATCATTCTGTATTGATATTTCACCACTCTTTTTGCCTTAGTTATTAGTTGTTGTTTTTTTATTGTTTGGTTGTTCAGACTGAACATTTAAGCATAGTCCAGAAATTTTCAAATTTATTTACTTAAAGCTCTGGGAATGCTATTCCTGCAGGTTCAAGACAGTCTAAATCCAACCCATGACAATTTAGGTTAATGCTTGAGAACATTGGAATTAGTGGCTCTACTGTGTCCAGATTTAAACCATTTGACTGTTAGGATGTTTTAGAGCAACTCAAGAATCACTTCAGCTCAAAACCACAGGATCACTGGTATCACTGTCCATGATGACGCCAGTTCTACAGTGGTATGGACACAGATTACCAGGAATTACACAGATTACCAGGAATTAAGCCTCTGCTCCAGAATAAACACCATTAAGTTACATAAACTGAATACACTGAATTGAACAGCATTTGGGGAGATGAGAATTAACAGCTCCACTTATTCTTTTTAAGGCTTAATTAAAGACATCTAGTATGTCCTGATGCATCTCAATAATCCAGAAAAAAAAGGTTGACAAAGTCTTCTGGAAGGGCTGTCTTTGTTGAAGTGTTTCGTCTGTTCTCCAAGACTCCTTCAGTCTGCGGAGTTGGAGGTAAACTCAGCATCAGAGGCAGTATCTAGGCATAGTCAATCAACAAGTTTAATGGTGACTGGTTGCTCACATACAGAAGAGAACCAACAGCCTGATAATGGATAGTGGTACCTCGATGACCACTAATTGCTCCCAGAGGGACTGAGTCACGCTCGTAATAATAGCATCATAGTGACCGCTGGCCTTCAGATGAGTGAAAACTGCAGAAGAGCCCATGCTTTGTCTCTTTTAGGGAGGAAAATGTCCTCATCTTGGAAAGAGAGGAATATAGGTTTGTTAAAAATAAAAAATAAAAATAAAAACGTAAAAGAAGGTATTTTTGTGAAGAGAAGCTGCCCATCATTGAATAAAGATGGAGGCAAGTCGTTCCTTTCTTGTTACTGCAAGCACGACTCAGCCCTCTGGGAACAATAAGCTGTCATCTGAGTACTAATAATCTTTCTTTGGGTTGTTTATTTTCTTTAGCATTTAAGTAACCACTTTTAATTGTTAGCATTAACCTGTTAAACCTCTATGCAAAGTGAATGCTTCTAAGGCTTAGTTTACCCATAATTCCTCAGACTAAAGAAGTCTCTTAGAGAAGAGACATTTCAACAAAAAGGAACCTGTTCAGATGATTATTCAACAGTTTTTCTTGATGAATCTGTCATTTATTCCATTAAAACTGTGTTTTAATGAAATCATCAAGAGGCTAAAATTTATTCGGATTTTTTAATGTGTCTTTGATGATTGGATGCAAATTCTTCCATTCATGTCAAATACTGGTTTGGCTTGACTAATACTAAAATGTATTTGTTATATTTTGTAATCAACTAATTACTGTTCTATGGTGCATGCTCACCATTGTTTTAGCGTCTCCCAAATGAATCAGAATGAAAGGGATTTGGTTAGATAATAATTCTTCTTTCATGATTTCATGTCCAGAACATTTCACAAAAAGTTACGTTTGAAAAGATTCCCATATGTTTTATGTGCCTTGAAGTGTGGGGCTGATTCATTTAAGTCAGTTTTTACTAAACTGTTGTTGCATAGAAAAAAAACTGTCTTGGGGCGTGCAGATGGCGTAGCGGTAGCACGCATGACCCATTTATAGAGTCCTTAGTCCTCGACACGGCCGACCCGGGTTCGAATCCGACCTGTGGTCCTTTGCCGCATGTCGCTCCCCCTCTCTCACACCCCCTCTCATGTCAGCCTACTGTTGAAAAAACGAGCCACTAGTGCCGCAAAAACTCAAAAAACAAAACAAAAAAAACTCTCTCTTCAGCACCTCTAGAGGTGGAAATCCTCTCAGGTATTCTGGCAAGAAGTGATTTTTGTTTTTTTTAGTATTACCTAATGCAGTTAGTGCAGACTCCAACCCACCGCTAACAAGCTAAATATGCATGGCTTTGTACAGATCACTGGCAGTAAGTGTTACTAATAATCTCTAAATGTTGCATGCTGATCCAAATATTAATACCAGCAGAACACAAGCAGTGGTGTTGGTCCTTAAAACGTCTGTTCTGCTTCCCGGTTTTAACTTTCATCAGTTCTTCCCTCAGTTCAAATTACTTGATGTTTATATCATCATTATTCCATGTTTTTTTTTTGTTTTTTTTATGACCGCTGGGTGCCACGAGTTTCTTCTGTCCCCTAATGTCATTCTCTACCTTTTGACCTGCTCTGATCTCTCTCCTGCAGAACCGCATGCACGAGTCTCTGAAGCTCTTCGACTCGATTTGTAACAACAAGTGGTTTAACGACACCTCCATCATTCTCTTCCTCAACAAGAAGGACCTGTTCGAAAACAAGATCATCAAGTCTCCGCTCACCATCTGCTTCCCTGAATACAACGGTACATCCTTCACAGTGAATGGTCATTGTTTGCTGGATCCCGATTTAAATATTGAAAGGCCGCCCACTTTTCTACCTAAGGGATCAGATCATTTAAAATCTTAAGGCTCATGTTTTATGCTCAGCTAATCTGGTCACTACTTACATAGGCAGGTTTCTGAGCAAATCTTAGAACAAAATCAAGAGAAAGGCGCCTTCCTTTGAGGACAGGCAACAATATGTGACACGGTGAATGCTTTGGTGCTAATCCTTATTCTTGTAAGAGACTAAATCAAAATTAAAACTGACCAAAGATGAGGTAAAAAAAAATTACAACTACTAAAAAAGCAGAACGTAGACCATCACCAAGCAGCAACGTTCACCCCAAACTGTGAATTTGTGTCTTACCTATAGCTAAAACTTGCATATCAAATTTAAACGAATTGTTCCTTGCAATGAGGCAAAGCTCTTGTAAAAAAAAAAGTCATATAATCTATTCATAAGTTTTCAATAATTTTTGTCTTCAGTAAAATACCTGCGTCTGTCAATACTCACTACTGCCACCCTCAGGTGTAGTGGGGAACTGCTTGTTCAATCAAATATCCCTATCTCACAATGTTAGAGAATCTTTAAAAAAAAAAATCCTGTATCCAGATTATGATCTGGATCATCACCAAAATGTAATGGATAGTTCCTTAGCATGAGATGCTTCTGATGAAAAAAAATGTATTAAAAACGTTTCAAGTTATCCTTTACAGAGACAGACAGACAAACAGACACACAAGTTCTCCTAAGAACATGACCTCCTTAGCAGAGGTAAAAAAAAAAAAAAGGATTCAAGCTCCTGGAACCTGGGTGTGCGAGAACACAAGACAAAACAACAAAAGGTGAAAGTGCATGAGAGCGGTAGTGGCAAGGCAATAAGAGAAAAAAAAAAGGACTGTGGGAAAGAAGGGTGCAGAAAGAAAAGGAAGCAAGACTGTGAGAAAGAAGGGATTAGAATTCCAAAGCTGTCCCTTCCCCTCTTCATCCCTTCCCACTTGCCGGACTCTGACCAAGTTCCTGCTGAAGCAGCCAGACAGCGTTGCTAATAGCCGAGAGCCACTGAGACATCAGAGACGCTTGGACCAAAAAATTAGTCCGGTCACTGAGATCAGACTCATCTCAAAAGCATGAGAACAAAGGAAAGCAAGCCAAGAGCTGGCAGAAAACGGTCCTCACCCTATCAGCTAAACATGAAGTGGAACTAAAGGACACAGTGGATTTTGGATTTGGTGTGAAACTGATCCCCACACTGACTGTAGAGTTATTGCTCCAGTCACTGTTTTTAGCTTCAGGTGGCCAGAAATGTCAGATTGTAGATACTGTAGCTGCTGATTGGTTCGTATTAATAATACAGAAAACAGCAAACTGCAGCAACAAATACAGGACATATTACCTACCATAACTTTCAATTTACTGTACCTAACTCTGTTCCAGCCAGTCTCAGACAGTTGTCCATGTTTTATATTCATTAAAGCCTGCTGGCAGTGAGCCTGGCACACCTCAGCAGAATGTTTGCTGAGCTTGAAAGGCTAAGGTTTTCTGTTTTCATAAAAAAATCACAAAATAGTGCTGACGGAGGGAACGGGGAACTGTTTGGATGAAAAGTGTTTTTAAAGCTGCATCGTAACTCCCACTGTGTTTCCTCTATGTCCCAACTGCAGGTCCGGATAATTACGACGAAGGAATCGCCTACATCAAGTCTCAGTATGAAGGCAAGAACAAGTCCACCAAAAAAGAGGTGTACTCTCACGTGACCTGCGCCACGGACACCAACAACATCCAGTTTGTGTTTGATTCTGTCACAGACGTCATCATAGCCACCAACCTGAGGGGGTGTGGCTTATACTGATGCTGCCAAGGATGGTCAGATGCTTTATTTCTGTGGCACCTAGTCATGTAACCCGTGTGGGACTGATTGGCTTGGTGTCGCCGTGTGACATTTGGTCAAACGCTGTGCCTGAGCTGTGTCCTCCTTTACTACAGAGCAAACCATGTTCCAGCTTGATTTCACTCATTCGCTGGTTGGTCAAAGCTTCTGCTGGCGTCTTTGCCTTATTTAGTTCTTGACAACCTTCCCTACATCATGTTTTTTGTTATTTGTTTTTTTTTCACTTTTTTGACCTTTTTATAGTTCTGTTTGCCATAAAAAAAAAACCCAGTTCCTCAACAACCCACAGGTCAGCATGTGTAAAGTATTATTCTAGCTCATATGATTAACCTATTTTTTTTTTTTTTGTATTACTGAGAATTTGCATCTCATTGAAACAGTTGCACTTCCTTTATTGTGGAACCCTTGGCGCTACAGTAAATTAATACATCAAGAGAAAACAAAATAGTGCCGGTCTGTTTTACTTACAGCAGTTAGCGAGCTCTCTAAAGACAAAGTCTAGCAAAAGTGTGGGATTTTCCATCTTATAATTGAAACATTCCTGTGTTAGCCATGATACCTCTCCAGCGTATGAGTTTCAACATCCTAGGTTGCTACACAGAGAATTTATCTGAGTAATTTCTACTTATGCTGAAGAGACTGTTACTCCTCTCTAAAGTGTAAAGAATTACTCTTTTGATAAAAATTATTATTATTTAAATTAAAATCACATAATTTAGCATCTTCAAGATTCCGGCTCTTACAAAACCTCAGCATAACTAACCAGAAAATTCTAATATGGTGCATAAATCAGAACTTAAAATAAATCTTGATCCAGAGTCTTGGAGGCCTGAATCCCTGAGCTTTACCGGTGTGAGCCACCGCTCAGAGATTATGTGGCTGCTAAGACCTGCTACATTCATCAATAAACATCTGAAACAAACACTCTGGATAAATAAAATGTTTTTGATTTATATAAAATAAGATAAACTTAATTATTTTAGAATAGAAAAGAGACACACTCATTTATGTCCAAATTTGAAGCATTTTCTATTTTCCTTTTTTTTTGTGTAGATCATGTGACAGAATGAAACAAAACTAATATCAAATCATACTAGAACTGATAACTGATAATGCACAGATGTTTTCATCCAAATGTAATAAATTTCCACTTTTTTTTACAAGGAGAACCATGATTGGATTTTATTTTTGATAAGAATCTCATTCAATATGTTGTTAGCAGAGAGCGGCTGCCCAGGGTAGAGCCGTTTGTCACTTCCTTGGCTAAACTAATAGGAAAAACCGGATGCAGTGGCCCCATTTTTAACCTGAGGAGGTCATCAAACCACCGACTTTAAACACAAGAACAGCATTTCAACAAATGTGTGGTGAATTGTTAAAATTATGCCTGGGACATGTAGACATCACTAATTTATATAGTTTGTAATATTAAAAAAAATGTATTTAGTCCTTTAAGTTTTTCTCAACTTCCACCCTATACTGTATACTGATTGCTCTAAAAAGTTTCTCTCAGTCTTATCAAAAGAAAGTAACTCTTCAACTCACAGTTAAGAAAAAACAGCTGTTAAAAATACTTTGAACTATTTTAACTGTGGAATAATAACCCGCCATTTTTCCTGTGGAGTAGGCAAAAAAATCTCAGTGACGTATTATGATCCCGTTGCCGATCTACACTGGACCGAACAGCTGGCAATAAAATCCTGAGAAAAAGAAAAAATGTTTTGTGCATGGTGAGAAATGCTTTATTCCCATGATATAGAGTGAAAATCTGTTTAAAATAATTTACTTTTAGGGCATGCATTGATGCAGTGGGGCTCCTCAAACATCTGCTTATATTTGCCTAATATATAATAGTAGTCTTTGAGTCTCATTAAAGGCCATCTATATTGTAAATGCAAAGTGACCTGGGGTGCTTTAATTATTTTTGAATTCCTATAGAAATTCCAATATTCCTAATTAAAACATAATCAGATGATTATGCGCCTCTTTATTTTCTAGAAAATTAGGAATTAAAGGAAGGAAACCAGGATCGGAGCGGAGAGGAGGATGCCATCTTTGTCTCTTCTCCACAGGACTCATGTTGCATCGTGCACGGGTCCATTATAGAACCACTTAAAACAAAGGGCTAACAAAACCTGCTGCTGACTCAGGCAGACAGTTCTTAGCTAGTGGCTGGATGAAAGCATCGATTTCCCCCTGCCCTGAGACCACACCATTATCTTTGGTTGCTTTCATAATACTCCTATTGTCCACTGTAAAAAGCCAGGGGTGAGATTTTAAAGATTATATCCTGAATAATGTAGACAGATATGAGCTGCTTAAATTAAGAAATATTGTTAACATGTTTAGGAAGGATTTGCAGAATCCTCTTTAAAGTTGCTTCGATTAAACAGTCTGATCTGAGTGGGTTTGCAGCTGTTAGTGCTCCTTAGTAAATTTGATTTCATTGCGCATAGTGCATCATTCATCACTCCCATCCTGCTATACTCGGACAGGTGGGGTGCATTATTTAAACAGGTAGATGGCACCATTGCCTCGTTTGCCACATTTGTAACAAATTTCCTAATTAGAGGCAGTGAAGTCCCCCCAGGCTGTTGATAGGCCTGCTCTGCATGAGTCTGCATGTGGATTTTCAGTGTCTGCGTTTGCTGATTGCATCCAGTAAACTGTGTGTGTGTTTGTCATTTACCAGAGCAGAAAAGGTCAGCGTGCAAACTTGCATGCATGCATGTGTATGTGCTGTATTAGTTACAACATCGGCTCACGGGTGGAGTGCTGGAGCTAGTTTTGGTGGATTAATTACCCACAAGGCACCTGTCTACCCTTTACACTACCGCAAACACAGACCAATGCACACACATGTACTGAAGGCACTAAAAGCCCTTGGGTTTTTTTGAAATGTCACAACACCTTCATTTGCCAAATGTCTCTATCATTTGCTGCTAAAAGCATCAGATGGATTCAGGTCGTTTTGGCAAACAGAAAAACTGTTGTTTGTTGTGGAATAATGATCTATTATATAATGTTTTTTAAAGATACACCATTTTAAGGATAATCTCCAGGTAGATAAAATTTTGTAATTTCTTATTTAATAAAAAGAACAAAAAAAAAAACATTTATTTAGTAATGATGAAGCTGGCCATCCTCTCCTCTCTATGAAGCTGCATAGCTTTGTAGGCTTTTGTTAAATGTGTTCACCCACTGGGGCTCCATATCCAAATTAATATACTGTCTTTATTGCCGTTTCATTAAAAGAATGTTGATCTGTTAAAAATGTGGGTTTTCTGTTTAAATTTTGGAACCAAAAGGGCCTGTAACATTCAATGGTACCATAGGAGCACAGTTTGTTGTTTTTTCGTTGGTTTTCTTTTTAAGTGTCCATGTAATATTTTTAAGTCCTTAGTTGTATGAGGCCCTGCGATGGACTGGCGACCAGTCCAGGGCTTACACCGTCTCTCACCCCTAGCCCTGGAGCACCAGCACCCCTCACCCCACTTGGGATAAGCGTGACAGAAAATGGATGGATGGATAGTTTTATGGGTTCAGTTTTAGCAGTCTATTGCTATGCTGCTGAGGTAGCCTGTGTTAGCCATTCTTGCTAACTCCAATTCTAAAAAGAAGCCAGCTGAAGATGGTTGCAGAAAAATGTCCTGCTGATTTTTCCCTGTGCACATCTTTATTTGCCTTGGGCCTTTGATTTGAGCCATTTCTTATCAGTTTGCTTTAAGCGTTGTTGAGGCCGATGGAGATATTCTTAAGCTTAGCACCATTAATAGTATAACCCTAAATTTGTTCACAGGTTACACATAATTTGTACTTAAATTGTATAATTAGTGTTTGTTTTTTTGTTGCCTACATCTATATGGATTTCTGTAAATAATTTTTTGATTTCAAGATTTAAGTAGTTGGTATATCTTTGGTTACAGCACATTGTTTTAAAGTTCATGTTTGTCTTTGGAAATATCTTAGCGTACGTCTCAAACATTATTTAAGGGCTGTTACCAAGAGGATGTGCAGTTTGTCCAAACTTGTCTGAGTGGAAAACATCTACTGTAACATAGCTCCCACTGATGACCTTGCCTCCAATATCTGAGTCTTAAGGCATTTAAAAGTGTTGGATAAATAGCTGGTCTTAAAGTTAGGATAAATGGAGGTATTTCAGCAGTTATTCACACTGCATAAAGGTAATTACTTTAGAATGCATAATTAAGCCCCTCGTAGTATGTCATATTTTTGCACTGTTCGGCTCTTCAATCATATGTTTTTAAGTTGATATTATGTTATTTAGGCCACTATCTTACCCTTTTCCATTTAGCAGAAACATGTATTTTCCAAACTGTTGTTTTCTCAAGTGAAATTAAGCGAGATTCATATTTTAATCTATTTTAAGGCTTGTTTTGGAACTAGGGACAGGTTATGGTTGAGATCTATAAAAAAAAAATGGCTAGAGTGCTGCTAACAGCAAAAAACATACAAGCTGGGTTGACAGCATATAAACTAAGCTTTTGAATTACTTTTAGCTTGTAAATTTAAACTAATTAGCTCACTTTTGGTAATAGAAATCAACATGGAAATTATATCCCAACCAAATGATACTTGTTTCATAGGCAGTTCAAAATTGTTGATGCATTTCCAGCATTTTGTGCTCAGTGGCAAGGCTGATTACTTCCAATAAGAAAATATTTCTGTATTTAAACACTAAATTTAGGGTTTTTTTAATGTTTTTTATGACTGATTTATTGAGATTAAACCATTTAGGAGGGCTAATAAACAGATTATGACTGCAGCTGTTACAGTGTTTTATACACTGTGCTGCTTTGTTGTCATTTCAAAGCAGGGCTGATGAGAAACCAACAGCTTTCTGAACCTGAAAGACGCAGTGTGACCTGTGGCCATTTCACTGGCCTTTTTCCATCCGTTTTTAACTTGAACCTGCTTTCAATGCACCTTTTATGCGATATCTTTTTTTTTACGGGTCTGAAACATTAGGAAATGAAGTGGAATTGTTTGATGCAGTGTGTGAGCAGACAACTTGGATCACTGGTGGGGAATTCACGTCCTTCCTCCGCATCTTGACTGGCTACATTATTTTTCTGTGCTGTCAGTTTCAAAAAAAAAAATTTTTTCAAATAGAAACATCAACAGACCATCAGGGAATTAAAATGTAGTCCTGTATATGTGTTATTGAGCAGTTAGATTAAACAAATCAATCAGATAATAATTTTCACTTTTAGTTTCAAGTTTAGTTTCAAGCATGCTGTGGTTAAAAAGAAAAAAGCATTTAGATTATATAATTTAGCTGATTCTGTACATTTGGGTTTTACTTGGTGTATGTGAATCAAAGCATGTACTTTTTTTTGGCACGGGCCAAAAATTCTGTGGCATCCCAGCTCAGTCGGTGATTGAATTGTCTGTGCTGTCGAGTAGAAATGCATAAAGAGGCAACATTGCAGTGTAACTGTTGAAGCACGCATACACAGTATTCTAATGAGGGTTTAAGTAGGATGGAGTGCAGCATTAGTTCTCATTTTTACCAGATGAGTTTCTGTATACTGCATATTTCTGAAGAGGAAGTAATACTAGATTGTAGCCGCTGGTTGCTGGATGATGAGAACAGACATGTCATTCTCAGGGAAATATTTCTCTTTCTTTTTAAGAGTGTGTTAAACCCTACACAGCAAAAACCTAAATAAGTTTTATTTTTTCTTAAAATAGGTGGATTTGTTTCTTGAATTTAGAAGGTAGGTGAGACACTTTGCCAATGGAACAAGACAATTTACATTTAAAATAAGAAAAAACATTGCATTGTCTTATTTCAATTGCATTTTAACTAATTATCTTATTTTAAGAGTTAAAAATCTCATTACATCTTCAAATTATCTTAGTTACACACTCTAATCAAAGGTAAATACACTTAAGACATTTTTACTTATTTCAAGATTATCTTTACAATGCAACAATTTTAAAGGTTTATTATTACTCATATAGGTTCTCATCTTTTCCTTTAGATTTGTATCTTTTAGCCAAGTTTAATAATGTTGCAAAATGTAAGGAAAGAAGATAATGTTCCAAATAAATTTAAGAAATTATATGAGAAAATATGAATATAATAGAACACCCCATAGTTTAATGTTTGTAAAGATTACGTCCTAATAGTTTTTTTAATTTTTATTTTAAATCACACCCTAATATGAACATAGGTTTTTGATGTTAACCCATCAGTACATTGTAGAAAGGGGTTTGTTTAATAAACAAAGAAGAACCAACACATTCTCAAGACTCTGTTTTGCTTGGTTTGATTTAACGTTGTGAGCTGCTTGTTTTATCTTAAACCTAGAGCACATCCAATTGTTTGTTTCAAAATAATGTGTCCCACTGCAGGAACAAAGCAATTAGCAGTTTATAGGAAGAAGACAGGACTGATGTCGGTTCTCTTTTCAGAGAGAAGAAGAATGAGTCAATTACTGTCTGTGTATAAACCGGGGAGTTGAGGTCTGACAGCCAATATGAGGGTGGTCAAAAAATATTGTTCGATGTGCAGTGTTAAATACCTTATCTGTGTGAGCTGCAGAAAGAGAGTCCAAAGCTGTGCAAGAAAGGTCAAGTGTCTTTGTTGTTTCAGAATCAGAATTTCTTTGCAAATCAGATATTAAGTCATCCGTTTCGATAACAAAGGCTGTGTGGCTGCTCCTCTGGGCAGCCGAGAAACACAATCACACTTTTTGTTTCGCCTGCTAACATGAGCACAACAAACTGCTGAAATGCCACATCGTTAGCCAGATGGAAGACCTAAAACAAAGTGCCAAATGTTTTCCATACTAGATTCAAACAAGCTCCCATCCTGACCTTGCCTTCATGCCCTTATGAGCAGTCTGATGATATACAGTTGCCACTTTGCCTTAATGAGCACTTAAAGGTTTACAGAGCTGAGGAGAAGCTTGCTGCACCGCAGGGTAGAAACCATGGAGCTGCATGGCTCCTGGCTCCATTAATGCACTCTGGAGGGTAGATTTAACTCCAGTGTATCAAATATGCCTTCTCTTATTATGCTCACACTGATTTGACATCCAGACCAATGCCCATGCCAACTAACATTGTAATCACTGTCCAGGTACTGCAAAGCATGCACAAACTGTCTGTGGATGTGTCTATACTGTATGTGTGCAACTGGTTGTGTTGCAACTCCTCTGTGTTGATAATTTATTGTACATTGTATTTATACATGAGACAATGATAATAAAGCATCACATAAGCAACCGGCAATCTGTGATTATTTCTCTTCCTAAAATGTCTCCTCCATTTTAATAGTTTTGATCTTGTCCTTTGCTTCTCGTCTCCGTCAGATTTCTTTTTGGGATTATTTTACACCGCCTTAATTATTTATTTGAAAGGATTTCCGTAAACAAGTAAAGGAAGGAGTTTGAGTGTGAGACGAATGAAACAGAGCGCCTGTAGAAAATGTTGAAGCATTAATTCTACAGAAGTTTCCTTTTTTTAAATCATTCTTCTGCCAAGCATTTGTTATTGTGTAAATATGTTCATTTCTGATCACTAGCATTTAGTTTTGAAAACTCTTCTTTCTCCTCATCCTCTTTCCTGATCTTTGTTTGTTCTCCTTTTTTCACCTTTTTGCCTAATCCAATTTTCTCAACTCTTTATTCCTTCTCCATTCCCTCGTTGTTTCCCCCCTTCCTCTCCTTCCTCCTCAATAGAATCGCATGCACGAGTCTTTGATGCTCTTCGACTCCATCTGCAACAACAAGTTTTTCATCGACACCTCCATCATCCTCTTCCTCAACAAGAAGGATCTGTTCGCAGAGAAGATTAAGAAGTCTGCACTCAGCATCTGTTTCCCAGAGTACACAGGTGAGAAAAGTGAAGCAAACGTTACAAATGATAAGCAGCAGAGGAAACAGGAACCGATGTGAAGCCAACAGGAAGTGAAATACTTTGTTCACAGCACAGCAAAAAAAAAAAGCATAATTCTAAATTGTTAATTGTCTAATCTTTTTGGCTGATACAGAATATTTTTAGATGTTTTAATATTAAATAAGATGGAATCATGGATAGTTTCCTTTGAAATGTTGCGAAAAAAGTATTTCCTAACTTACTGATTTCTTATTTGCTTTGTTGCTTCAAACAAATATAAATATAAAAAACCCCAGTAACTACAAAAAGGCTGTCAAAATATTAATTTCATTTGTTAAAGAAAAAGAAAATATTCCATCCTTCTCAATAAAGTATGGTCTTCCAATTTATTTAATCTTGATCTTG